GAAGGGGGGGGAGCCGCTGTTGCAGCATTAAAGACCTTGGAGATTTCGGAGCCGCTGAGCAAATTGTGGGTGTTTTTAAGGAGGGGGCTGCCCCCCCGGGGTTATTGGGGGTTTTGGGGGGGGTCTTCTGGTGTTTTGGGGGGTGCTGAGACCCCCGCCCTGTCCTCTGCTGGGGGGGTACAGCCCCCCCCATGGCCATGACACCGACTGATTCTGACTCTTCCAGCCCTCAACTCTTTAATTCTCAGTGAATTTTCACCGTTTTGGTGGGTTTTTTCCCCAGTAAAGCTGGGTGGGGGGTGGAGGGTGGCGGTGCCTCAGGGGGAAGGGGACGATTGAAGTGTGAGAAGATGGGAAAAGCAAGATGGAGGGAGCAGTGAGAAGTATGACACTGGGATATTGGAGTCCTAAGCAAGGACTCCTAAGGGACTCTTGCTGGTGATCTGTTACTCATGACCACATTCTTCCAAAGGGAGAACATCTTATAGCTTGCTGGTAGTGAAGATATCTTGCACAGGGGATGAGGGGAGGGAGAGAAGAGGAAGAAGAGTTGGAGGAAGTGATAAGATTGGAGGAAATGAAATTAGGCTGCAGCTTTCCCTGAAGAAAGAATATCAGGAGAAGTAGACCACACTGTCAATTACCAGAATATTTTCACAGAGTTGTTGTGTTGCATAGCTTCAGCAATACTTTTGCCTCCCTCTGTCGTGATGCCATTGAATGCGAGGCTGTGAAGTAAAGACACAAACGTGTAAGAAACAGCCAGCATCACTTGCCCATTCCCCGGCCAAATACTAGTGAATACCCTGGTATTTGGGTGTTTTGAAGGCTCACATAATTTGCAAACCAGTAAGTCCTTATGACTTTTACAAGTAAGAACAGTTCACAGGCCACAGCCTGAGCACAGGTCTATCATACAGGCCATAAGGTTTGCTGTCAGTCAGTTGTACTCTTGGGACAAACAGCAGAGCTGCACCCAGTGATTCTGAGACTCATGGCTTTTAACAAGGACAAAGAGTTGTGCTTGGCAGTACACAGGTTTTCACATGCATTTGTCATCCCAAATCCCTGTACAAATTGTACTTTGTCCTTTAAAGTCCTTCAGATGCCTGAATATCTCATTCTTCTTCCAAACACAACACCTTCTGTTGTGTATGGGGAGATGAGCTTGTAAATGTGTGCTTTCCATTACAAACCACAAACATTTCTTAGTCTGCCCTTCATTCTTTGAATAGACATTGGCAAAATCATCCAGTTAAAGTTATGCTCCAGACTTTGAGAGTTCAAAAAGCATTTCCCACCTCAAAAGCCACGCCAGACCCTGAATATAGCACCAGGTGTGAAAAAAAAGTAGAAAGAGAGATCAAGTGGGGCAATGGCGCAAATACGTATTAGCAGAAGTCCCTGCAAGCTTCAGCTGAAATTAAATATTCTTCGTTCATCATCACTCGGCCTAAAATTGGGGAATATGCTAAAGTAAACTGATGTAGCAGGGACTGTCTTCCCCTAATCTTCACATAAAGCTACCACTGGCCGCCGCCGCCATGGACTGGCAGCCGGACGAGCAGGGCCTGCAGCAGGTCCTGCAGCTGCTGAAGGACTCGCAGTCGCCCAACACGGCCACCCAGCGCGTGGTGCAGGACGTATCCTCACCGGGGACGGACGGACGGACGGATGGAGAACACCCACCGGCCCCCTTTTTGAGGGTGGGGGGGGGTGTCTCGGTTTTAACGGGGTCGGATTGAGCTCCGGAGGGGCCCGACCTGGGGAAGCCGGGAGGGGGGTTTGGCCACGTTAATCTGGGGCAGCGGCTCCGTCCCCAGCCTCCTCCCCATCTTCATCCTCCTCCCCGTCCCCATCCTCATCTTCTTCCCTGTCCCCCTCCTCCTCCCTGTGCCCCTCCTCATCCTCCTCCCTGGTCCTGTCCCCATCCTTGTCTTCCTCCTCATCCCCCTCCTCGTCCTCCTCCCCACCCCATCCTCATTCTCCTCCTCGTCCCTCTCCTCATCTTCCTCCCTGTCCCCATCCTTGTCTTCTTCCTCATCCCCCTCCTCATCTTCCTCCCTGTCCCCGTCCCCCTCCTCGTCTTCCTCCCTGTCCCCATCCTTGTCCTCTTCCTCGTCCCCCTCCTCGTCTTCCTCCCTGTCCCTGTCCCCCTCCTAATCCTCCTCATCCCCCTCCTTGTCTTCCTCCTCGTCTTCCTCCCTGTCCCCGTCCTCCTCCCTGTCCCCATCCTTGTCCCCCTCCTCGTCTTCTTCCCTGTCCCCCTCATCTTCCTCCCTGTCCCCGTCTCCCTCCTCGTCTTCTTCCCTGTCCTCATCCCCATCCTCGTCCTCCTCCCTGTCCTTATCTTCTTCCCTGTCCCCTTCCTCATCCCTGTCCCCTCCTCATCCTCCTCCCCATCCTCCTCCCTGTCCCCGTCTCCCTCCCTCTTCACGTCCTTGTCCCTGTTTCCATCCTTAACCGCCCTGGGCAGAAGCTGAAGCAGCTGAACCAATTCCCCGACTTCAACAACTACCTGATCTTCGTGCTGACGCGGCTCAAGTCCGAA